ATTGCCTCCAAGTTCATCAAACCGCCTGCTCTCCCCTTCGAAGGGCCTGGCCTGTTAATCCTAGCTCAGCTCTGCTTGCCTTGTCTGACTCAGGGCAAGCAGCAAAACTGCAGGTGATCCGAAGCGGGCGTTTAGTTTTGGGAGGGTGGAATGGAGAACAACCACAGGAGAATACTTCCTCTTCAGTTTAGGATTCTGCTAACCCCACAAGATGCCCTCCCAATGGAAAATTTGCCCAGACACTTTGGAAAGATGGATGCCTTCCAAATGTGTTGGAACTGCAATGCACATAAAGCTTTATGATACACTGAAGCATATGCAAGCTGAGAAGGATGGAACTGTGGGCTGACACATTTGAATATTTTGTGCCTCAATGTCCCTAAAAACCAAGCCACCAAACCAGGAGAGAAGAGGAGTGTTTGAGGACCTCCAACAATTAGACTTGTTTAAGGATTCAGGTGGCCGTTGTTTGAACTGTTGCCACTAAAAGAATCTAAGTGGTAAAACCTTTTTTGAGTTGAGCTGGACTCCTGGTGGCTTCATGGAATCTCATGACTTCATCAGATCAGCCAGGGACAGCAAGGTCCTGCCACCACATTGGCCTAAAATAAAGACTTCCTTGAGTTAGCCCCAGCTCCTGGTACTTCATGGGCATGTCAATAATATAGAAATGGTTTGCTACTCTCTTCTTCAAGGATTTTTTAAACTTCTCAACCCTGGGATTTCCTGGTGATCTTCCGGACTCAATCCAACTTTGAGATCAGCTAAGGATGGCTAAGACCTGCTAGACCTGGAAAGGGTTCCTTGAGTTGACCTTCCCTTCCCTTCCCTTCCCTTCCCTTCCCTTCCCTTCCCTTCCCTTCCCTTCCCTTCCCTTCCCTTCCCCTCAGTCTTGACTTCTGGTGACTGCCTAGACAAGTCCCTGCAGTTTTCTCTTCAACCTTTTTAAAAATGGTTTGCCCTTGCCTTCTTCCTAGGGCTGAGAGCGACTGGTCCAAAGCCCCCCCAACTGGCTTTTGAGCCAAGGCAGGACCAGAACTCACAGTCTTGCAGTTTCTACTCCAATTCTTCAATCACCTCACCAAACTGGCTCTCAGACCTCATGTTTGCTTAATTTAACACATAACTGTGATGTCCTCCTCATGATACTACTTGGCAATACGTAGACCAAAAGAGAGAAAAGGCAGCACATCGGACCACAGCTGGGATGAGAGGCGTCCCCACAAAGTAGGAGCATGTCACTTGCCAAAGAGAAGCTGCACTTAGAAAGGCATTGTTACTTCTTTTGACCACCAGGAGGCATGTCATACCTCGAAAATGTGGGCATGACATAGGTAACATCCGTATCTCTCTGGTCTGAGCGCTTAAGAAGAGGAAGGTGGACTATATGCCTTTCACGAAGGCATTTCCAAACAAAGGCATTGTTCGGCCTTGTGTTGGATAGTAGGCAGAAGACCAAAAAGAAGCCGCAATGGCAGAAGAGAGACTGGCTAGCCACCCTCACTAAGCCTCTGAGCAAAGTGTTTTCAAAGGTCATTACACGCATTAAGAGTATTGCTAGAACTCTCAGCACACTGCATGAGTTTCTCAAGTGGGAGATCAGCACGTCCCCTGAAATGACTTCATGTGACTCTGGAGGAGCTTCAAGTTATGATGAAAGTTTGCTCAATATTTCAAATGTAGGAAGAAGGAGAAGGAAGGAGAAAGGAGAGATGGAGGGAAGCAACATATATGTGAACAGAAGACACAGGGAAACGGCATGTCCGTCTCTAGCTGTGTTTATACAACATGTTCAATTAGGTCAGGTAAAAACATGACAGGTACTTTTGCTTAACATGCTAAACTTGGCTTGTGTTAATGTTGGTTAGTCTTCCTGAAGATTAGCATAGTACAGTGTTTCTCAACCTTGGCAACTTTAAGATGTGTAACCTTCAAGCAAGGCTGGCTGGGGAATTCTGGGAGTTGAAATCCACACATCTTAAAGTTGCCAAGGTTGAGAAACATCACAGTACATGAACTCATACGCTTAGTTTATTTTTTTGATATCAGCAGGTGGAGGCATCTGCCTGACCTAGTTTGGGCTTGGAAGCTAAGCAGGGTCAGGCCAGGTTAACACTTGGATGGGTGGCTTCCAGTGAATTGCAAGGCTGTAGGCTTGACTGAGACAGCAAAAAAACATCCTGGAAAATAACCACTGCCAGCCAGTTTGGCATCGTTCACAAGAAAACTACACGAATGTGTCAGTATATACATTATACAGCACATTTACTGTTCATAGCAGGTCTGGGACTCCAATTCAGCCTTTCTCCTTGCAAAAGGAGGCAGGGGGCCTTCCCCATTAAGTTACATCATCCTTCCTTAGAGCTGCGGCAGCCTTTGGATTTTTCACATTGCCCCAAGCACAAATTCACTGCTTCTGTGCCAAACGCCTCCCGTGTGACCCCGTACCATTTGGAAGGAGCAGAATTGCCCTCAGAGGCTTCCCAACCCAAATGGGTCCCTTCTGGACTTGATAGGACAATCCCTAAAAAATGGAAATGGAGTTGGGGATCGGATGGAATTGACAGCTGAGGTCACCTCTCTTTTGAGCCCGGGTGGGGGGCCGGCAGCCCCTCGCCAGCTTGCCAGGGTCTCTTGTGGTGGCCTGCAGCAAACTGCCAGGAGCGGTTCAGACCGCGCTCTGTCAGTGAGGAACACTGCTGATCTAGCAGCTCCACGGAGCCTTCTGCCTGTCAGTCAGAACTGGCCGCGGATCCGTTCAGCAACTGGCCAAGGTCTACATCAAAGGCAGGCCATTTTTTTGTGGCTCGGAGGGCTTTGTTTTTAATTTTTTTTCCTTCTGAGGGTTGCAGCCCTGATGTCACCCGACTGGAAGGAATGTTCAACTCATTGGCAGGGCAGGATCTGGGTCTGGATGGGTTTTAAATGGGTTCTAACTGGGGGTATTTTAACAGGGGAAAAAATCACACCCCTGAAAAATCCATGTTGTGCCATGGCCCCTCCATAGCACAATCTGGAGTGCTCGGCAGAATGCATGTGACCCGCATCTGGTTTATATTTTACAACTGGGAGCTGCTCTTCTGGAGCTAGAGACAATGGAGAAAACCCAGACTTTGCCACCTGTTGAGCTTGGGCTCCATCTGAAAGTTGTCTTAATGCTCCTGGGGAATGACCCTCTTCCGAAGGTTTACGGCACACAAGCCAGAATTCAAGAGTTTGGCTGCCAAACTTCGTGGGAACTGGGGATTTCTGTTTTGCTGAAAATGATCTGCTCCAGGTTTTCCATCTTGGTCAGCTGAGCACATCAGCAGCCAGAGTGAGATACAGGCTCTGAGGTCCATACGAGAAGATGGACTATCAGTGGTAAAGAAAAGGCACTTTTCAGAGGCTCAGCAGCACGCTCTCTTTCCTCGTTCTTTGTACATTCAAAGATTGAGTTCCATGGTTGGAGTATTTCTTTGATGACCCCCAGCACCTTTCCCTTCCCTTCTTATTTCAGTTGGGTCCAAGTTTAAATTGCATGCTTCCTTGGGGCAAGAACTTCTTGTTCTCATTTGTCGTTTTTCACAGCATTTTTATTTTATGGCCAATGACCAGCTTGCACTCTATAAAATACCATGAGCACTAAGAGCTCTAAATAATTGCATCCAGTCATTAAACCATGATGAGCTCTATCCTAAATTAGGCCTAGTCCATCAATTCTACATGCTTTGAAAAAAATCAAAGCAGGTTCGGAAGCTGCTGGAACTCAGTTCTCTTTCTTTAGAGGTAGCAAGAAAGAAAGCCTTTTTTAATCCTTGATTTTAAGTAAATGGTAGCCTCCATCAAGGTGAGCTTGATTGCTAGCAATTACATCAGGGAGTTTGGGCAACATTGGAAGTGTTTGTCACTGCCATCATCCAGGATATTTTTCTACTTTCAGTCTACTCTACAGCTCTGGATTCCTGGTGGTCTCCCATCCAGCTTTGGAGCTCACAAAGTTGGCCAATTCTGCTGTCTTTGATGTACACAATCCCAAATTGTCCTTTTCTTTAGCAAGGTTTGTGGTATGGTAACTTGTGGATCCTCCCTTCTTGTGTGATTTGCTTTCCCAAGGCCATTAAATATCAGGACAGTTAAGTCACTGCTAAGTGACCTCTCTACTTTATAGTACTTGCCTAAATGAGCCTATTGCTGGTCCTAGTTAAAACCACATCATCACAATAATTCTTGATTGTGCCAACAGGCAATGTGTCAGCCTTTCAAGGTAGGCGAGGTCAAGAAATAGACACAGATTCCAGGAATGCTACTTGATCATTGTAGGGTATATAAACAAGATCTTGAAAGCCTGCCTCTCTCACCCTTTCCCAAGGTCAGTTCTAAGTTCTTTGACAGGTCCCTCCCTTTAATGCCAGAAGCTCTGGAAAGACTGGGGCCCAGGGCCACGAGTCCTAAAAACAGAATTAGCAAAGACATTGCTGCTGCTGTCATAAAGGGAGAGGAGAAAGGAAGAGAGCCAGTGCTAATATGGGAGGGCAGAAGGCCCAGAATCTGGCCCCGGAGATGCCAAGAGGAAATCTGGCCCATAGCTCTCTCCCTCCTGAATTCGCATCCCGTCAATCTTGGAATTCACGAATACGGAGAACTTCGATGAATTTTTCAACCGCCATTCCATTTGGGTAGCTGGGATCTTAATAAATAGCAGCACTCTGCTTTAATTCATTTAAAGCCAAACATTAATCCAAGGAGGCTCCTGGCTTCATGTATAAACCAGTATGATGGCCTTCAGCTGTCGAAGCAAGACGCCCATCCGAATTTAAGCCGTGCAAAGGCAAATACCCACCAAGTGCCAAGAAAGCAGCCTTTGTCAGGGACACAAGCCTGCACCAACCTTTCTTCCACTCATTAATAGTTGCATTGATTGTTATAGACCTCATCATCAGAGCAATTCATCTTGGGCCTGTTAAGACATTGGCTCTCTAGATCGGTGGTATCCCCCCCGGCCCCTGCGGCTCCCTTACCTTCTTGAAACACCGGCAGCTTCCCTCCTCTGCAGCTCTCAGAGAAGATGCCAAGCAGGTACACAGCGGAAAACAGGGCCCTCCACATGGTGCGTCAAGGTCTGTGCTCTTGCACCTGAGGAAGCAGAGAGAGATTCTGTTGTCCAGATCCACTGAGAAAAAGTGGGGCCGACGGGGCAGAACAGCTGGACCAGGATAAGTCACAAATAGGACAACAATCCCTTTTTTGCCATGCCAGGTCATATCCCAGGTCCTTCCTCACCCAGATGAGGATTAGCTGCCTTCAGCAGATGACCAAGACATCCATCCAGGGAATTTTCTTAGGGTAGAGCAGTAGAGATAATTGTCTTATCAATTTATATGGCTAACCAAATCTAAAAACCACGCAACTAAACAATAACTGAAGACAAGGACCATCAAGGTAGATCAGACTAGGAATCCAATGTCATGTAGGAATCCAATGTCATGTATCTTTTACTATCAGGTTATAGTAACAGGATCTTGCAAGTCTGAATGTGCTTCCCTCTTCCCTCCCTTTATCTTTATGAGACCTGGGGAGGGTCTTGTCTGAGATGTTTACTCAGGTTACATTCCTGCCCCAGACACAATTCCCTTTTATCTGACCATTGTCCTGGTCGTGGTTCTTTCTCCTGTCCCTCAAGGCCATTCCCTTGAGGAATAAAAATGTCATGATAGCCAAGCACATCAAGTTCTGCCCTTTTTCTACATGCCACACATGTGAAAAAGGGGTGGGGCTTTGGTCACATGGTCATGGTGGCCATTTTGATCTTTTTTACACCTCCCCCCCCCACAGACCCACCTGGGAGTAATTGTCCTGAGGCCCCATGTGTGGTAAAGTTGTTTATTGGACAATTGATTTTAATGCACAGAAAAAACAATAGAAAGAGAGGCTTACATTGGCCTAGGATATAATGAGATGGAAATGTTTATATATATGTGTATACATGTAGGGTTGCTTAAAGAAACAATCTGGCAACATCTTCTCGGAATCTTAAAACGCTCCTCATGCTGTGATAGGAAATGTGCTGATTTGGTTTGGACCTCCTTTTGCAAAACCCACAGTTCAGCTCAGCCCTCTTCAGGGGCCACCTACTTCGATGAAACCTCACTTTGGAAAACCCTGCTCTTCCTTGGTTTTCCCATTAACTATGCAAGGGAGAGCAACTCACCTGTGATGGAATGGTGTTATGAAGGCCACGCTCAGGGAGATAAGCATTTCCTTAGCCCCCAGCATTTCCCCCTTCCCTTAGTGTGGGAAGGTTAAGAAGATGAGACTGGCACCACC